TAAAATATATAGAGGACAGGAAGCAAGTGGGGCAAGGAGGAGGGACATAGGATGGATCTGAGAGATGGGAGAGGAGGTTTGAATATGATCAAAATACACTTATGAAATTCTCAAAGAATCAATAAAAATATTATTAAAAATTCAATAAAAACGATAACCAAGCATTTAAAGTCAGTATTGGTGACACACATCTTTAATCCCAGTACTCAGGAGGCAGAGACGGGGGGATCTCTGAGAGATTCAGGCCACCCTGGTCTACGTAGCAAGTTCCAGGCCAGCCAGGGATACACAGTGAGAGCTTGTCTCAAAAACAAACAAAACAAAGCAAAACCCAGTATTTAAAAGGTATTTTATTGAATTCAACCTGTAAAAATTTTACATTCGGTTTTGTCAATGGGAATGTTTTAATTCTGCTGAAGTTTTTCCTTTTCCTTCTCTTTCTCTTTGCTTTTCTTCAGTTCTCAAGGAGAGAAATTCTGCTGTTAGGGAATTTTTGACTCCAGGATATGGTGGTGCCAAGTTCATGAGCTAGGAATCCTAGTGTGGGTTTTCCTCTGGTAACCTGATTTCTGTGCAAGGGTGAAAAACGACAAGCTTCCCTCCTCTGGGGCAGACCCTCTCACCTGTCCTGCTCCCACATAGCCTCCAGACCAGAACATTTCCCCTCCAGATCAGAAAGGAACTGTCAGGAAGACCTAAGCACAGAAAGCAGAGGGGCTCTCACTGTGTACCCATATCCTGTGCCTTCACAGGGTGGCCAGGCCATCTTGCACTTGTGTTAGAGGCCCCTAAGATAAGAATGGACAATATTGTCCCTGGCCCTCATCCATGGTATGTGCACATCTCACAGGAAGTGGATGACCTGGGCATCAGGATCCAGGCCATTCCTAAATACCATTTACATGTAGTCAAAATCTAAGCCCAAGTATGGTCTTTGCCAGCTTGTAGCACTGATATCTATTTGAAGAATGATTTAAAAATTTTAAGCATATGAAACTTTTTGTTTATAAATGATGCTGCTGTTCAGTTCATAGTTTGCTATTGTAACATTGTTATGTTGCACTAAGATTATTTAAAAGCATTGTCACATTGCAAAGGTATTGTTGACAAGAAATGTGAGAGGGAATGATAAATAGAAAACAGACTTGCTTCATGCCATTTAAGATGGAAACAGAGTCAGCACTCTCGAGGCTGAGGCAGGAGATTGTGAGTTTGAGGCCAGCCTTGGGTATTTAGTGACTGATGTTAAGACCTCCATGCCCTATAGCAAGATTCTGTCTTTAAAAAAACAAAAACAGACAAAATCCAATTGAAATGTTAAGGACTATGGGTATAGCTAAATGGTAGAATGCTTGCCTACCATGTGCAAAGCCCTGTGTTCAAACCCTAGCATCACAAAAATAAATGAATAAATAGATGATAAATAAATAATAAATAGAAATGTATCCTGCTAAAAATTCATTCAGATCTAGTTTTAGGATTTTCAATGTGACATTAGTATCCAGCTCTAAATGAACATTGCACAACTGAGATGACAGAAAATTTCTTTTGGAGAAAATGAAAACCAACAATTGATCATCACAGTCTATGCGTCAG